TTAAAGGTAAAGGTCGATGAGAACACAAACAAAGGATATAGCACTTTCTGCAGTCTTATGTTAGTTGAAATGTCTATAAAAAAACAAATTGATTATCAAAATGGAAAAACTTGGGGATATGTTGATTTGGGAACTGATATTGACAATGATGATATGGCATATGCATCAGAAGCACTAGTACTTATGGTAGTAGCTGTTAATGGTAGTTGGAAATTACCCATTGCTTACTTTCTAATACAATCATTAAATGCTGATGAAAAAGCTAATATTGTTAGAGAGGCTCTGATTAAACTTAAAGATACAGGAGTAACCATAACATCTTTAACATGTGATGGACCAACTGTTAATTTTTCTATGATGAATGCTTTAGGAGCTAATCTGAATTTAATAAATTTACAACCTTACTTTTTACATCCCTCAAATCCTGGATCAAAAATATATTGTGTTTTTGATGCTTGCCATTTAATAAAGTTAGTACGAAACAATTGGGCAAAATTAGTAAAATTCTTTGATGATGAAGGAGAAATTGTTGACTTCACTTATATTAAGCTGCTACATTCCATACAAGAAGACAGTGGATTGCGGTTGGGGAACAAGCTGAAATCTGCACATTTAGATTGGACTAAACAGAAAATGAAGGTAACATTTTTCTAAAACGTTTTTGGGTTGTATGAGGTGTATAATATTATCTTCACTGAATCACGACCAGCGAGTATCTCAAAAAGTATGGCCTGCAAGTTTTTATGATTTGGGAAATATTGATATGATAATAAGTGAGGCTCACGCTCAACGGGACGGAGCTTTATGGGAAAACGACCAAAGAAAAATTCGTTCGGGAGGAATACGTAGGTTACAGACGGCTACAATTTAAAATTTGTTAGATGTATACAGGATGTCCCACATAAGAAAAAAAAAATTAGTTCATTAAAAATTATTCAAACAAGAGTAAACAATTAATTTCTGGGAGACTTTTTTTCCTTAAAAATTCAAATAAATCGAAAACTAACAATAATAGTAATAGGGAACCTTTAGTTAACTGACATTATTTTTGATGTAGTTTTTAATTCTAAAATAAAAAACAGGGTGTTCCATTAAAAATAATATAACTTTGTATATTTTCTCTTATGTGGGACATCCTGTATACATCTAACAAATTTTAAATTGTAGCCGTCTGTAACCTACGTATTCCTCCCAAACGAATTTTTTATATCTTTGGTCGTTTTCCCATAAAGCTCCGTCCCGTTGAGCGTGAGCCACCCTGTATATATATATATATATATTTCATTCTAAACTGTTTACAAATATATTATGAAAAATACATTTTCTAGATACCTACTGCTTAAAAAATGTTTAAAGCAACGTATAAATAAAGAATCTATGACAAATATGATAAATATTCGGGTAGACAGCCAAAATAATATTTGTCATTTGATTCTATGTATGTAAAATTCCGTTTTTTTAGGTCAATTTGGCAGTCCAAACTCTCAGTGAAAGTGTAGCTTGTGCCTTAGAATTTTTGATGATAGATTTAAAAGACCCTCGTTTTAAGGCAGCAGGACCAACAATACGTTTCATCAGATTGATGAACAAAGTGTTTGATTTGTTGAACTCAAGAAATCCTCTTAGTATTCAAATGAAAATGCCAATAAAAGAAAACAATGAAGATATATGGTCACCAGTTTTTGAAGATGTTATAAAATTTTGCAAAAGATCGACTTTATTAGATAATAAAAAAATTGTAAATACAAAAAATAAAACACCCTTTAAGGGAATTATTATAACAATAAATTCAGTCATAGGCATGTACAATGATTATATAAAAACAAAACGGTTGCAATATCTACTGACATATAAATTTAGCCAAGATCACTTAGAATTATTCTTCTGTTCAGTTAGATCAAGAAATGGGTGGAACAATAATCCATCAGCGCTACAATTTTTTCATACCTACAGAAGGCTTCTACTACACCACGATATAAAAAATATGAGTGGCAATTGTATGGCGCAAGATAATACCAGCATATTGTTCACGCCAAGTACATCAAATTTAACTTTAGGTGATATTCATGTAATGAAGAAATATGATATTCAAATTGTAGAAGACACCGTTCATGACCACGATTATGTCATGCCAATTAATATACCACTCACAGATTTAATTCATAATGTTGTAGCTTACATTGCAGGTTATGTCATTAAAATAACCGAACGCATTATCAAATGCCCTATTTGTATTGAGACCCTACGCAATCGTGGAGATTGTGCAAAACTAAATTTGGCGCTTTTATTCCGAAAAAAGTGGGGTAATCTAATTGTACCCTCTGAAGATGTCATTAAAGTATGCAAAGAAGTCGAAATACATTTAAGGCAAATGTTACATATAATGAACAATAAGCTGCCAAAGGAAACAACTTTTTTAAATTCCTTTGTCATCCAAATTTATTCTAAATTATTATTAAAAACCAATTTATTTAAAAATCTTCAAAACCATAATTTACATAATTTAACTTTGAGTGAAAATCATATAGAGAAATTAATAAAAACGCTGGTTTCTTCTTACTATAAAATTCGAATGTACAACTTGGCTAAAAACCAAAGTTATCAAGCGAAAGGACCATTAGTTCGATCAAAATTAAACAAATTGATTTTGTTTCATCATCAATAGTGAAATTTAATTTTTTTTAATTGGTATTGTTATATATTTTTTGTATTCCATATAATGTCCTAAATATTTAGGTAGTTTTTGAATTAAAAATCAACAAAATATTGTTTATTTTTTAATAATTTGTACATCTTAAAACTGTTATTAAAATAACTGTAGTCTGATTATTTAAAAAATCTTTTAACAATAATTGTTTTATTTGAACTTATACAGTTTTTAATAGTTGAGGCCATTTTTTAAAAAATGTATTGTCAATTAAAATTAATTGAAACCTAAATTTCTTGTTTCATAGGATGGATCAACATTTTCTTTATTCTTAAATAAATACATTAGGCATTCAAATGTAAACTGCACAAAAGGTCATAATTTTATTTTTCTTAAATATTGACTTACATGACTATATAAATTGCATTTTATTAATAATAACTTTTTTTATAATAAACAATTTTTCAGCCTTGTAATTTGGACCCCAAAAAATGATTTTATATCTAACAATAGATTCTTGTTATCATCGATACTTTTTTAAATTATTTACTTGTCTATGTCCATGTTACTCAATTTAGAAGCTGTTTTCCCTATTTATTGCGACCAACGTAGGCATTCATCAATGTAAACACCCAAAAACTTTGTATCTGTACTTAGCTCAAGAGATGCATCGCCTAACTTTATAATATGTGGCTTTTCATTAACCAATAGAGTTTTGGATAACAGTACAACTTCAATTTTTGTTTCATTGAAAATAAACCAACTTTTGTACTTACTGCGATTGATAAGTACCTCAGGGAATGTCTCCATACATACCAAAATATTAGTATCATCAGCGTGAACAGTTATATAGGCTGTCCCAATGAAAAATAGCCTTTTCCATTTGATAAAATTTGGTTATGGTGAATTTAAAAGAGATTTTTAAAAAACACCCTGTATAGGTAATACATAATTTCTGTGTCAGTGAAGCAAAACAGCAAAAAAACATATCAGCAAATTCGGCACGTTTCCACGATTTATTTAAAAGTTCTGGAAATGGGCTACTTTTCATTGGGACACCCTGTAGATTGGTTTACATTTAAATTAACAAACATCAATGGACCTGCAATACTACCTTGCGGGATACCAACAGATGTTAGTACAATACCAAATTTAACATGTTTGAATTCGCTACTTATATGGACCCTTTGTTGTCTATCTGTTAAGACTGAAACCACTTCAGTGTGTTATCTATAATTTGTACACCTGACATTTTTTATACTTTTAGTGTCTTGAAAGTTTTTCAAATTAAATAAATAGTTAAAATAATACATATCTAGTTTTCTTTCTTCATTGGTCCCTGGCCTAAACTTAAGTTTGTCTTTATTTCCAAGATTTAATTTGGGTAAGTAGGTATAATAATAAAAATAATAATAAAAAAATATGTCAAACTTTGATATCTATATTTCACTTGATAGTTCAGTCTGTAAACATCTGGTATTAATTTACCTAGTTTTCAGTGGTTAAGACTGTAACGAATCCTTATTATTTATCTAGTATTGTAAAAAGAAGTTATTTTACAGATAGATACGAATAAATGTATTTCAATTTGTTCCCTGCCATTACTTTCTAAAGTGACCGTTATCGGCTACTTAGCCAATGTTGTTTAAAAAATATTCGGTATTTACACAAAACTAATACAAAACTAAAATATAATACTAAAATAATACATTTTTAACTGAATTATAAAAAATTAAACTTTTCATTTCTTTGTAACAGCGCCTAGGTTTAAGAAAACCTGTATGCGCCTATTTTTATTCCTACCTAGTTGGATAATATATATACATACACACAAATACATATACCCATACATAACACATACACAAACATACATATATACACATACATATATGCATTACATTTTTTGTTTGTTTTATACCTTTTAGCTATACCAACAAAAATCGAAACTAAAACTAAGATTATTATACTTAATTATCACAAATATTACAATTTACACAATGAGAGATAAGAAGAAAGTAACAAAAATCAAAATAAGCACAAAAAATTTCACAATTTTCCCAACAATATCTTTTAAACAAAATATTAAACTTTTTGTACTTTTTAACATTTCTAATACTTAGAGGAATAAGATTATAAAATTTAGGAGCCAGATATGTCATAAAATGCAAGTTTAAATCACATCTTGACTGAGGGATGTTCAGCTCATGAGCAGCATTTGCCCAGGTCATAAAGTTATGGGACACACAATTCGATTTTAGTTTTTTATTTGCATGCACAAAACAACACACTACAAGGACATATAGTACTTTTATATTGTTAATTTCTAAAGAATAAAGTTGGTTAGTAGAATATACTCTAGGTTTTTTTAGAATGATCCTTACAATGTACTTAGTACTGCACTACTTTCAGTTGAGTAAGATTTGAGCTGTACATCACACCCCATACAACAATGCCATACCTTAAAAGGAGCTCAACAAGTGCCTTGTAAATCATCAGTAGTAACTTCTTCGCCATAACGTTGCGCAAAATATAAAGTTTATGAATAAAAAATCTAATTTTGACTTTTTCCTCAATACTTGTAAATTTTTCACACAGGGTTTTCATCTTATTACCGAATGACTCAATTTGCATTAGTTGCTTAAGCTGTTCCTTACATGAAGGGCACATCCAAATGAGGATCTTTAAAATCTCTCCATTCATTTTTTTATACTGTTGACTGCTAATTCCCACACAGGCTATATGATACCAAGATTGGCATTTTCCTTCACATAAAAGACCCTGCTCATTGTGCTTTACTTCATTTTTACATGTTTTACAAAACGGATCTCCATCTTCGCCATCTTCATCCGTCTCTCCCATTTTGAGGTCATGGTATGGCACTTTTTTAATTCTTTAAAACAATGAATAAATGTATTTGATCTTACACATGTTAGAACATAAATAAACTCTTGAAAACTGTAAACCTATATCCAAAATCACGTTGATAAACAATTTTTATGGATCAACTTTTTGACACGTTTTTAAGGTTGACACTTGACAATGGAATTTGTGAATTTTTATTTAATACACCTGATTTGTTATGTAGGATTTAATGTGTAGTGTATTCGCAGTAATTCATTTATGATATGACAAGCTATAAGCTAAACATAATATTTATATTACCGTTTATGATGGAGGGTGAAGTTTTCTCACCTCAAGTACAACGGCAACATATTTGTATCTTATGTGAGTCGCCTCGGAACGCCAACGGAAAATAATTAGCCGTCAATCCCCGCACTGCCTATGCTTAAATGATCTAAACTAATACAAAACCTGTTTTTCATTATTTAGTCTTCTTGTTAAAAAAGTATTACCAATTTGCATTTAATTATGTGTATATTTTTATTGAACTAGTAAAAAACTGAGTACAATCCTGGAATCACTTAACTGCGCAGACTCTCCGCCTCCCCGGCAGGTTCTCCTTGTGTAAACGTTTTCTGAAATGACAGTTCCTATCTCCCCTCCTCCCATATCTATGGTCACAGCTAAAATGACGTCAGTTTGGACGTTATATTGACGTTAGTTTGGACATTATATTGACGTCAGTTTGGACGTCAGTTTGGACGTCAGTCGGGCACGGTTAATAAAAACAAAATGTATAAAAAAAATTATTTTTTCTCAAAATACAAACAATACAAAAAATCTCTGTTCTAGCCTAAGTATTTAGTTATAATCTCATGTACGAGTCTATAGTATGTAATTGAATTAAATATTTAATTATACAATTGCCGCGTTTGAGAATCCACATCGGATGTATCTGAGATGTAGTAAATCGTTGATCACGTTATTCAGTATACGTAAATGTAATGGGACAGATGTGTCGGATGTGAATAAAAAAACGCTTGAGAGGTGAAAAATGCATCCGAGGTGGATTCGCAAACGCGGCAAATAAAAATAATTTAATTTAAAATTTCTCACTTGTCTTCTTCATTCTTATGCAAACGATGATTCGCATGTTTCAGCCACACTTTAATACACGATTCTACATCTGCCGTAGTACATGCACACGATAGCTTAACAGCATCTAAAAAATTCAAATTTATAAGTTACTTTTTGCAATGTTTTTTTTTAAATTTTCGTTTATAATAAAACTATTACGACACTCAAAGTAGTGCTGTAATAAGCCATAATGCACATATTATAAAGCACTCCTTCTCATAGTTAGTAGAATATTTCCCTAAATGGCATGTCAGCTAGATCTGAATATTGCAAGTTTTTAATCTCATCAATGAATGAGATAGCAATACATTTTAAGGAAAAAGTGGCCACCCAGTATATATTTCATATATTTATTTAAGAAAAAGATGAAGGAGGAGGAGGAGGAGGAGGAGGAGGAGGAGGAGGAGGAGGAGGAGGAGGAGGAGGAGGAGGAGGAGGAGGAGGAGGAGGAGGAGGAGGAGGAGGAGGAGGAGGAGGAGGAGGAGGAGGAGGAGGAGGAGGAGGAGGAGGAGGAGGAGGAGGAGGAGGAGGAGGAGGAGGAGGAGGAGGAGGAGGAGGAGGAGGAGGAGGAGGAGGAGGAGGAGGAGGAGGAGGAGGAGGAGGAGGAGGAGGAGGAGGAGGAGGAGGAGGAGGAGGAGGAGTTGGTAGTTATAGTTGTATTCTGAATTTGAAATGTTTAAATTAATATTGTGTCAAGACATTTTTAAAAATTGCTCTATGACCACAATAGACCTAAAATATGCCTATTTTCTTATTTTAATTTATAGTAAATTGCTCCATTTATATTCACGAAACCAATGGAACCAGTTTTAAGAATTTTAAGACTAAAGAGAATTATCAGTTAAGCTTTTTACAATATTGTGTTTGACAGTATATTTTGAAAAAAGTAAAATTATTAGCTCCAACAAACGTTAATATTTGCGATTTGTATCCAATTGAAAAAATTAGACCTTCATAGTGATTTTGTTTCTTTTCCTGCATTAGACACATATAAGACGGTATTCATTTTAAAAATAGTAAAATTAGCAAATTTTTTAGTTTTTTTTACAATTAAAACGTTTGGATAATGTGTGTTTTTATAGATAAATGATACTCCACTGAACAAGAAGGATGTTTACCTTCCCCCTTGTTCCCGCTTCCTCACTTCCTCTACAGATGTTGCTAACACAACAATCGCCTACAAACTCGTTTTCACGCTCCCTCTATTAGTAATTGCTCGGAGTTTTTCACAGCATGACTTTGATTGATACACAACTTAGCACGCTGAGAAAACATGCTTATTTTCTACACTGAGCGAAATAGTTTGGCAAATTATCTGAAATTATTGTTATAGTCCATGCGCAAATGTTGCAATGTGATTTAATTACATTGAAGTAGTTAGGATTAATAGCAATGGTGAAATTTCGGCACCAAAATATAATTTATTATGTAATAATTAATTATTTGTTATAAAAGTAAAAGACGTTTATTGTTTTATAATATCTATAAAATCTGTTTAATATTTGGTTTATTTATTGTTAAAAATGTAATAAAAGGCCCATATTTAAATTACCTTTTCCTTAAGTAAAACTAAGGTAAATAAAATTAAGGTTGTCAAAAAAAATTTAGGTAACAATTAAAAAGACATTAAGTTTGAGAGGTTTAACTAAATATTTGCAATGTGCATATATTTTCAAAGCTTTTAGGTTTAAAAAGTACTTACATATTTTTAAAATTTCTAGATTTATATTATATTAGAAGGACTTTTAAGTTTATCGCTCATTTCTGTAGAAACAAGTGTTTTCTCGCCAAGTTAAACCAGATGTCATTTAAGGTTTATGTATTTAGAGTTAAATACCTGGCCTGGCTATCACCCAGACAATACAAATATGTCCATTGGACTCCATTCGATATACAATTTTGGATGTCTAGACGTCCAAAAATGAGTTTTCTGGACTTCCGACATCCAATGGACGTCCAGTGAAGTATACAAATGGCATACTTTTGACCACTCAGAGAACGTACAATTTTGGAATATATTTGGAAGTCGAATACTGGACATTCAAAAAACGTCCAGGATTATATTTCCATTGAGACCACATCTCCACTTTTTTTACAGAACCGCAACTCACCACACACCTAATTTGTTTATTATTTTCGCAAACCGCTATACACAATTTATTTATTTTTTATTAAAAATCGCTTGACATGAGCAGGAATCGAACTCACGATATATCCATCATCGTTTTGCGCTTTCAATCGCTAGACGAGCTCGACCAAGGAACCACTTGAAAACTTTTTACTAGATACAGTTATAATTGAATAATATTTCAAACTTCCGCTGATGGAATGAAATGCAATGGATTCAATTTGTCAATTTTTAATGACCAGTTATATTAAAAAAAAGAAGTATATATAAATGGGTATTATCTGGTAGGCTTAATAAATAATGACCTAAGATGGACGTCCACTGGAAGTCAAAATACTACTAAACTTAAAATTAAGTCCAAAAACAGACGTTCTCTGTGTATCGATATTCAGCTGTCAATTTAATTAGCATAAATGGACGTACACTGGATGCCCGGATATGGACGTCCTGACCCTCAAATAGATCTAAAGTGGACGTCCATTGGACTATGTGTGCATAGACGAATTTTTAGAAATAGTACTTATTTATTTAAGTATGCACCAATATTTCCAAAATCAACTCCAGTATGATTCATTCAATAAATGTAAATATGAATGGGCAAAACATCTTTATATTGACATAATTGTAACTTACAATTTAGCCATAATAAAGGGATTTCGCCCACTTTGACCAATCCTAATTGAAACACGCGAATTTATTATATTTTTTTAAATATAATTTCAAAATAAATTAAACAAAATCTGCAGTTCATTGTTTATTAAATTTATTTAAAAGAAGAAAAACATATATTTCACAAAATACAATGCCTACATATGAAAAATAAAATGTAAAAAATGATTAAATCATTATACTTAATATTTATGCATGCGATAAAATTCTTAGTTTCCTAATAACTTTTTGTATGTAAAAAATCTTCATCTTATTACTACACAAAACAAACACCAAAAAATATCACTTAACATTGCTCACGTACTAAACACAATTTGGACTGACTTTGACAGATAACATAATTTTGAGTGATACACAACTTATTTTCGCACATGTGCGTTACAAAACGGTACACTGAAAACACCAAGCTGTCGCTTCTCCTTGATCGGTATTCTCGGATGGTACTTTATCAGAAAATGTCATTAAATCTTGAAATTGAAGCTTCGTAATAGAAAAAAATGTTTTAAATTCTTCGTCTGAAAAATCGTTTTCATCAGTCAGAAAGTTTGTAAAAAGGGCCCTCGAATGATATATGGCCTATTAATAAATCTTAGATTTAGTAATGGATGCAAAATGTACCCGTTGTCATCTAATTGATGTCTACATGATTTTATACTTTCTGGTATAAAGATATTTTTTTTAATAAACACATAAGCTTTGCATTCATTTGATAATCTATTTAAATTACCAACTGCATTACAAATAACACAAGAACTTCTTCTAGTTTGCGTCAAAACATTAATTGTTAAACAAGTTGGATCGAGTTCTATAAGGTGTATTTCATTTGAAATTGATTGATTACAGTTAACACAAATCCTGGTATCAGGATTTACTTCTAAAGGGGACAAATTATTTGTTTCGCGCCTATGGATGGCGATTTCTCGTTTATGAGCATTTTCATCTCTATCTATTCGAGTCATAGTACGTGGGATGTACTTCGAGCATATATATTTCATAGAGTCCGCATTCAACAGAGTTTGTTTGGGTTATGAGGGGAAACAGGTAGACACTATTTTCAGTGTCGCATCATTTTTACGGGGTTTGCAATTAATATAAATAATAAATTTGATATATACCTTTAAATTCTTTAAATTATGCACATTATTTAAGTAGGAATCTAGTAATAGTAAATAATAATAATAATTATTATTATTATTTATTATTATTATTTGTGTTGGACACATCAGATTTTTTTAATTCAAACATCAGAAAGTG